GTACAAATTCATAATGAATAATCCCTTTGATACCAAAATGGTTAGCCATATCGTTGCAACAAGTTTGTGAACATAATTGTCAGACCTTGTATAGATGAGAACCCTGCAGAAAGGACCTGTCAAAAGTTACAGTCGGATGCAACATCCTAAACTAGAGACCTAAATTGGTCCATCTTAGATTAGAGTTCCTTAGGCAACTCCACCCTAAATTACATCAACCACCAAATGTATATGAGTGGTAGATATCATGTGGGTGTATTTTGTTAGACAGACATGCTACACCAACTGAAGAAGCGACTCTAAAACAGCTACCTATGCGTATGATATTCAGCCTGCATTCTCAAGAGTTGAGAATTTAGTATTTTCCTTGCAAAGCTCTTCCCTATTTCATTTTAAAATTTGAATAATACTCCATTTTTATCATCATTAAAAGATTTGGGAAATTTAAGATCAAAATTAGATTGGGTAATTTATCATACCACTTCAAAATATTTTGATGTGAAAAATGTGCTAATTTACCTTTGGTTTTGCAGGCTATTAATCTCCTCTCTAACAACTCATTTATCAGTTACCTCAAAAAGCTACAATGTATTTTTCTTTTTACTTTCAGGAGACTTAAAAGAAACAAAATTAATCACATAAAGGAAAATGCTTTTGCATCTCTCCAGAAACTACATGAATTGTAAGTTTGATTAAATATGTATTGACAAAAATTTTCTTTCTACTATTTTAGTTCATACTTGTTACACTTATACTTTCATACATTAAGAAATATTTATTATCTCTTTTCCTAGCATGATTTATATACACCTGAAACCACAAAGGAATTCTGATAGCTTATAAAAGATGTACATTAAAGAAAAATATAAAATAAATATTTGAAGAAAGTGAGGTAAAGGAAACATAGATGCAGAGAAAGAATAAAGCTAGGGTAAATTTAATAAATAAAATACATCCTACACCACTCTGTTCCACTGTTAGAGGGACAGCAAATGTGTCTTTTAAGTTTTCTAAAGAGTTAGGATTCAGAAACCATAAAATAAAAGGACTTCACTTTTCTGATTCTGAGATCAAAGGATATTCTTAGATCCATAAAGAAATTAGACACNGCCATGGGTAACATCCCAAGGTATAATATTGGAAGAGAGAGATTAATTAAATCAGCTATTTGCAATGTCCCTTTTAAAAAATCAATGACACAATTCCAAAGGGCATTAAAACACTGTGATAAACCAAAGCCTTGTGGTTCAAGCACATAGGAGCTGATTGTCAGAATAAAATATGTGTAGAATAATGGATGAAGTGCATGTCTTTCAGACAATTCTTTTTTTGTTTGTATAATTTTTTCGGTTGAGTTTTTGCTAATGTTTGGGCTTGCAACTAATTTGATTTTGTGTTTTCTGGAAAGAATCTAGAGTGTGGACAGATCTAATGTTTTGCCCATTAGCTTGGCAGAACACTGATTTATTAAAATGTTTCCATAAGAATTCAAGAACCTATCTAGGATGTTTCTCTGGACACTTTACCTGCATACTGAGACAGGTGAAGGGATACATACGCCACAAGCAATAACATTCCCCAGGAAACAATCCTGCATTCTGCTCCAAGACATCAATAAACAAGCTATAGAAATCACAACATTTTTTTCCATAACCATTAGCCTATAACGTTTTTTGGTATGCAATGCCTCATTCACAAAACACGCAAGAAAATCTCAATACGTAGATATTAGAACCAAGCCTCTGTTGTAACAACTCCTGGTATCTGGCAATTGAACCCTGTCTTCAGCATGTAGGACATTATTTTATTTTCAATAGTAGGAAAAGAATCATGTCAGTGAAACAAAGGCATTATCTAGCCATTAAAATACAAGTTAATCGAGGGATTCATACTTCCCCTCATTTTATCCTACTTGAAACCACTATCCGAATATAAGATGGCAATTCCTCTAAATCCTAACCCTCATGGTGGCAGTAAAGTGAGTACCAGTAACCATTGATGAACATGGAACACAAAGAGCTTAGTTCATAACCACTACTANCTTCCTTCAAACATTAGCACCCTGGAAAGTCATCCTGGAAAAACATATAGACTTGGTATTTAATTATTGGGCTGTCGGAAAAGTCATGGCATATTTTTTCAATGTTTTTCGTTGCAAAAATTCGTCATGACTTTTCTGACAACCCAATATATGACATGAAAGGGAAAAAATAAAGACTCAGAAAAGGGCTGGGGTAGAAACAAGGAAAAGGGGTTTCTATACCTTGCAAACATCCATAAACGGTAAAACTATTTCAATTTTTTTCTTCCAGGTACCATCACCTCTTGGGTAGTGATTTTTATTCTGCCCATCAACAGTGCTTTGAACCCAATTCTCTATACTCTGACCACAAGACCATTCAAAGAAATGATCCATAAATTTTGGTATAACTACAGACAAAGAAGACCTATGGACAGCAAAGGAAGTCAGAAAACATATACTCCATCATCATTCATCTGGGTAGAAATGTGGCCGCTGCAGGAGATGCCACCTAAGTTAATGAAGCCAGCTTTTTTCACAGACCCCTATGATTTGTCACTAATTTCTCAATCAACCAGACTCAATTCCTATTCATAACTGACTTGGAACCCCATTTCTACACAGAGAATACTGTGGAATGCTTCGTAATGGATTTATTAGTATAAAATGAATGCCACAAAATTAATAATTTATAAACAATGGCTAAAATAAATTAGCTCACAAAGACATGAGGTTATTTGAGAAAAATCAAAGTGACTGATGCCCATATAAAAGGAAATAAATTATATTGATAATTTTGATATACTAGCACATATTTTCCTTGGGAAATTAAGAGAAATCTATTTCAGAAAGATTCATTCTTTTTTTTTTTTTCATTTTGCATTTATCGAATACCCACTAAATACATGGCACTGCAGTAAAGTCTTGGAAGTAGACGGCATGGAACTTTTCATTTTTCAATTGTGTTTAACTACAACAGAATATACAAAGTTCATCTGCAGCTCCTAGTTTAAGGTAGAGCTTTGTCTGTCATGCATATCAGCAAACATAAGAATCACAGACACTTTTAAATGAAGATTTAGGGTTAAGAATACTCAACTATAATAGCATCAGAGAAAATGTTTGCAAAATACAGATATTGTTTTAAGAATTCATCTTAATGCTCTTCAAGTCTTCATACAACACAATACATATATTGCTATTAAAAAGATGCTCTGATATAAACTCAAAGCAGCACTTCTCTGTCACTGCCTGCCCAGTTGTCTTTGCGCTTTAAATGAGAACCACCACATGGTATTGGAAAATGAGTAAAAGTATTGCAAAGGGTTGAATCAGAAAGGGAGGATGAGGACAGACATTTTCAATCAATGGAATAGAATTTGAGAGTCCAGAAATAAAACACATTTACAGTCAATTGATTTTCAACAAAGATGCCAAGACAATCATATGAAGGACAATGTTTTCAACAAATGATCCTGGGACAAATGGGTATTCACGTGTAAAAGAACGAAGTTGGACCCCTACCTTACATCATATACAAAAATTAACTCAACATGAATCAACAACCTAAATATAAGACATAAAAGTCGTAGAAGAAAACATATGGGTAAATCTTCAAGACCTTGGATTTGGCAATGGATTCTTAGATAGGACAACAAAGCATGAGCAGCAAGAAAAGGAAAAGAATAAATTGGATTTCATCCAAATTAAAAACTTTTGTGCATCAAAGGACATTATCAAAAAAGTGAAGACAACCTACAGAATGAAAGAAAATATTTGGAAATCATATATCTGAGGAGGATTTAATAAGCAAAATATTTAAAGAGCTCCTACAACTCAAGAAAAAGACAAGCAACTCAATTAAAAAATGGGCAAAGTACTTGATCAGGCATTTCTCCAAAGATATACAAATGGCCAATAAGCACATGAAAAGATGTCTAACATCACTAATCATTAGGAAAATGCAAATTAAAATACAATAATACTTCATACCTACTAAGAGGGCTGTAAGGAAAAAATAGGTAAAACAACGTGTTGACAAGGATGTGTAGATTGAAACCCCTTCCACAATGCTGGCTTTAATGTAAAATGGCGTAGGCACCGTAGAAAAGTTTGGTGGTTTTTCAAAAACTTATAGAATTACCAAATAATCCAGCAATTTCAGCCCTGGAAATAAACCCAAAAGATTTGAAAATAGGACTCAAAGAGATCCTTGTATGCAAATGCTCACTGCAGCATTATTCACAGTAGCCAGAAGATAGAAACAACCCAAGTACCCATCAACTGATGAACAGATAAATGTGGCACGAGCATACAATGAAATATTCTTTAGCCATGAAAAGGAATGAAGGTCTGACACATGCTACAATGTGATGAATGTGAAATAAGCTAGACGCAAAAGGACAATACTAGAATAAGCAAATCAGGGACAGAAAGTTTACTGTATGTGGGAGGGCTGGGATAGTAATGCCTAAGTAGAGAGTATCGTGGGCAAAAAAAAAAAAGTTCTGAAATTGATTGTGGTGATAAATAACTATGTGATTATACTAAAAGCCACTGAATTATACACTTTAGATTGGTGAATTTTATGGTATGTGAATTGTATCTCAATAAAGCAGTTAAAAGGAAAAAGAAAGAAGAGCTAGAATGCACACGTTCAGGAACTTCAGGAGGGAAACGTCTATATGTACATGTTTTACTCTAAAGACAAAGTAGTTGTCATCAAGCAATGGCTTTACCTTCTGTTTGCCTGGGCCACCAGATCATAAGATACTAACATTTTAGCTATTCTTCTGGTCTCTGAGCTATAGGAATATTTTTGCTTTCATAATTGGAAACCTTTAAACAGGAATAAAATATCTTCAAGTAGTTTTAAACACACCAAAAATGTTTGAAANTGTGTCACACTTCAGTTCATATATTTGAGTCGCTGTTATTCCTATAGATCTATGTTATATGGTGAACCAGTAATCTAAATGTTGGGATAGACTGAGTAGATTAAGGACCAGCATTTACTTTTGAAAGTATATCCCTAACCTCAGCTAACTCTGCTCTACAAACTTTCACCATAAACCGAATGATAAGATAAAAGAGGTGCAATAAAAGAATACCTTCATCATAACCATGAAAAAGAGACTGATAAAACAAATTTTTTGACAAGTGTTGCTGCTCAGATTAGGCTCCTGATGGTGACATAGCATCACATCGGAGGAGAGCTCAAGTAGGGTCTGTATTCAGCTCCCTGAATTCAGAGTTGACATCCAAGGGCAGCCTGTGGGTCTCCCTCTGCACTGGCCCATGTGACAATATAATACAACAAACAAGGGTATTCTCAGTGGGAAAGGCTATTGAGAATTTTTTCTGGGGAGCGTTTAGGCAAGGGAGGTAGAGGCTAAATATTGTTTTTGGCAGTACCAGCTTCTGTAGCAATAATAGGATCTTCTGTAGCAAAATAGGGTCATAGCACTTAGAGAAATGCCATTGGTAACTCTGGACAGATGTTTGATACAGCTTACTGTTAAAGCTCTGTTAATAAAATCAGTATTTACCATAACAGAGGTTTTCAATTTGACTTCTCATTCTCTTCACATTTCTCAGGATGACATATGGGCCTATATGAACATGTGACACAGATGTGACTCAAACAATTTTTACTATTAACACAGAAAAAGAAACATTTAATATATATAAATGTTATTTCAGCCATTATGTAAGTGGCACCATGTAAGATTCAATATAAAATAAACAGTACATTAGAAAAGATTTTTATTAGAAAGCAAATAATTCTCAATTTATTTCTGTCTGTGATTAAAATTTAGCTTTACTATCTTTTATTTTTATGTTTCAGGGACTTTGAAGGCAACCATATCCATAATTTAAGAAANCCCAATTCCCTAATAAAATCTTTAAAAAAAATTTTTTTTTCCAATTCATTAAAAACAAAGTAACTTCTTTAGAATTATTACATTTACAATTTAGAATTATTACTTACAAAACTCTAACAGTAATAGGACAGGGCCATAATACTGATTACTTTAAAGTGAGCAATCAAAGATACAACATCAAATGCAAGAAATATTATGTGTAGAAGCAGTTAATCTTAGAAATAAATAAGGAGAAAATATGCATTCTTTCCAGACATGCTTTCATTTTCTAAAGTAAAAGTTTTTTTTAAAAAGCCTCATAGGAGGGCAAAAAATATTTATCATATATTTTTAAAAGTTGTCATCAGTTCAAGTTCAAATCCCTGTAACAAAAGAGAACGTTTTCCTTCAAGTCAATGAGGTTCTGATTCAAATATTTTTTAGAGAAACAATTGTAACCTTCATGCTAAAAACGGGAAGAAAAAAATTGATTTTAATTGTTAACTCTTTTACTTAGTGACTTTTGTGATACCAGTCTAGGTGCTGGGGGTAGGGAAGTAAATAAGATACAATGATTGGTTCGAGGGAACTTGGCCTAATGGAGCTGGATCTGACATTGCTAACCTTAAAGTTACCTTTCTTAGCCCATAAAATGAAGCTTAACTTCACACTCTGTCATTCATGGTATCTTCCTGCAAGTCAAATAGAATAACGGTCTACCAAGTTTGCTACTGGTAACACTGTGGTATTACATCTACTGATGAAATTAACTTTCATAAAAGACTTTATGAAAGTTTAGAGGGCAGAAATACTGGCCAGCATCAAAAATAACATCAATACTAACAACCGTCACCCCAATAAACTTTAATTAAAAAATAATAACATCAGCATTCTACTTTCACAAAAGTGAAGAAAACCAAGAAAAATTTCATTTTGAGTATACAGAACTACATGTGCAAATGTAAATGAGGAAGTATGAGTTATTACACAGCCAAATCAGTTGTCTGTCTTCAAAGAATCATAGCCTTCTTTCAAGAGGTCCCGCCATGTTTTAAGGAAACGTGCATTTTCTGTACATTTGAAGGCAAGCTCTTCCACTTGAGCTGATACTGCAGATGTGGCTTCAAGAAGTTTGGTTAATGAAAATGCTGCCTGCAATTTAAAAAAAAAAAAAAAAGGTCAAGCAATGGAAGTTTATTTTTTAAATCCTCATTTTATAAGGAGTCTAAAAATAGCTTAAAACCTTAAATCCAATGCCCAAGTTATTCTTTAAAAGTAAAAAAAATTCTTCAAACTAAAACACCAGCTCTTTCAGGGTACCTAAGAAATTCCTTAATATGAAGTAAGCGTTGAGGAACTATGTCTGCTAGAAAGATATCCATTATGTATGAAACATGACAAGTCAGTTTTATTTTTATTTTTTTAATTGAAAATACACTGGAGTCTCATTTTATTCATCCAGAGGACTTGGACCCCTTGACACTAAGGACCAGAAGTACCTGAAAGGCTTCATCATAAACAACTCTTACTGATATTTGGGTAACAAGGGCACTGTTCACTATTTTTACCTGTGAGCANATAAAACACTCTGACTAAATTAAGCAAAACAGAGTTTATTGGAAGAAAATGGTGTAGCTCACAAAATTCAAGAAACAACTCAAGGAACAGACTTGAATTGGGCAGAAACCATGGCAGAACTAAGGATCAGGCAGCAAGAGTTAAACCACAGGACAGTATACTGCAATTGTCGAGCTTGTATCTTGTGTTGCTGCAATACTTTATACTCTAAAGATCATTTACATTTTTTGCCAGAGTACCTGGCTTTAGAGGCAAATCAGACTAATGTGAATCCTAATTTTCACATTTACTTGAAAATTTCCTAGCAAATAATTTGCCTACCTTGAGACTCTTTCTCCTCCTGGTGATACCAATACCTACCTCATGGAGTCGATAGAATTTATTCCTGAAACAGAGAAAATGCTCAATAAACAGTGTTGGTATTGGTGATACCACAGTAGTAATTACTGATTATCCAGGTGGTATCTTTATCAACAAGGGAGGTCTCTATTGGTGAAAGAATTCACTCAACAAATATTATTGAACACCTTATTATGTACCAAAATTTAGTGTGAGAGGTAGTCATGCTAGCAAGTAGTCACAGATGACATAACTTCTGTAATAGAGAAGCCACAAAAGCGCACAGGAAAAAGCATTTATTTAACTGGCTCTTCCCCTGAGAGTCAACAAGCAAGACCAGTTGCAGCCACAGTAGGAGTGATATAACCAGTGCATTTACGTGGACTAAACACTAAAAACCCTGTGAAAGTTTCCTTGCCTGATTCTCTTGATCACATGCTAGCAGGTTATTTACATTCTCAGACATGTCTAACACTTGGGGATTCATTATGTCTATTTGCTGCTCTCGCCCACACATTCTTTTGCAAACTAAATCAAGTTAATGAGACTTAAACTTAAGTTTAAAGCTTCAGAATCCGTCATGTCTTACATTCCTCTGAGTCTCATACTAAGACATTTTCCTTCTGAGAAAATGCAGAAAGTAAATATTAATGGATC